TGTACGCTACGTGTTGCGTGTTACGTATCGGGGCAGCTAAGATGGACGCCTCCCGGCGCCAGGAGGTGCAGGGGAAACATGCTACGCGAGTTGATTCTATACCCCGCCATTCGATCCTACTCGTTCGTCCCACCCGAGAAGGGGGGGAACCGGAAAGGAAGGCTCGAGCTTAGAATCTTCACGATTTCGGTCTTCCAGGCTCAGGATGCTTTCTAGCAGCTGCGCCTCGTCGAGGGCGCTCGGGGGGTGTCTGGATCTTCCCGAACGGCCGCAGGAGACCCGAACCATGACCCGAAATCCGACCTGAGGGGGGCGGAGGAAACGCGGCTTCCCAAGGACCGAAGGAGATCAAGTTGCATGAACATGCAGTCGGCCCGGATTCGTAGGTCGACCCTGCCAAATCAAGGGTACCCTTGTGTCCTGCGTCGCGCGTCCCGTGCTTCCTACCTTCCTGTGGCAACGTGGCCCTCGGAAGAGTCTTGTGTCCTCTCGCGTGTCCTGTCCGGAAGTCCGCTGCAAGGAGGAGGGAGGAGGGAGGAGGGAGGAGGCAGGGAGGGAGGGAGGAGGGAGGAGGGAGGAGGAGAGGGAGGAGAGGAGGGGGAGGAGGAGGGAGGGGGGAGGAGGGAGGAGGGAGGAGGGAGGAGGTCCGCGCGGCTATCTTAGGAGTGCGCCCGAGGTTGCCGGGCGCGTGCCCCCAGGGGAAAAGGGCGCCCCACAATACGTAGGGGGCGGGGGTCGGCGGGGCCCTCGCTGTGGTGCGGAGAGGGAAAGGCGGCACGAGCGTAAACATCGGGAGCTCCGCCAGCCGACGGACAGGCATCGGCGTCCCCCCAACTGTTTGATCCGCGGGTCGAGAGCGCACCTCTTCCAGTCGAAGCCAAGCGGGCCGCGCGAAGCTTGAATCAATCAGGGATGGGGGAGGAAAAGGGGGGCGCAGCCTCAGAACGAGGCCGGGAGGCGTCACCCCAACATACTGATACGGAGTGTGCGTCGCCCCCCCCCCCCCCCCCCAGGGGGCGACGCGCGCATCGAGAACTCTTCCAGGATCTGCGTCGTGCCCGGCGCGTTCTGACACCGCTCGGGAGACGATAAACTACTACCAGATGCTTGTGCTGCATGTTCGGGTCGGACGCACGCCTAGGAGCACATCTAGTACTAGTCTGTCCTCGTGCGACCCAAGGAACTTTGGCCTGACACGTCGCGCCGCCGGTTCTGGCCCACCGCGCTCCGGCGCGACACGCTGTGCACGTCCGCACTCCCACGCGGACAGTTGGGAAAAGCTGGACGCCGACGGCATGCAAACACTCTCGGGACAGATTCGGGGGCGAGAGGAGAGCAGCACTCATATCGTGCGAGTGTGGACGGGGAAGGGGGAGGAGGGGGGAGGAGGGAGGAGGGGGAGGGGCAGGAGGAGGAAGAGGTGGAGGAGAGAGGGGGAGGGAGGTGAGGGAGCCTGCGGCGCCGCCGCGAGGCTGCTGGCCTACGGCCTGGGCGCGCTCGCGGCCGTTGCGCTGGCCGCGGCCCTGAGCGCCAGGCTCGCGCCGAGGAGGGGCGCGCGCCTCTAGGGCGCGGCGCCCTGCGCGGCGCGGAGTGCGCCTGCGCCTCCTCCTCCTCCTCCTCCTCCTCCTCCTCCTCCTCCTCCTCCTCCTCCTTTTTTTTGTTCCTTCTCCTCCTTCTCCTCCTCCTTCTCCTCCTCTTTTTTTTTGTTCCTCCTCCTCCTTCTCCTCCTCCTCCTCCTCCTTTTTTCCCCGCCATCCTGTGGTGTTGGGTCATCGTTTTGAAGAGACGGTGCCCCGCGTCTCCTTCCTTCCTTCCTCCTCCCCCCTCCTCCCCACCCCCCCCCTCCTCCTGCCCGCGTGCGGTTCCTCCACCCAGGGCAGCGTTTCGTAGCCCCATGGGGAGCTCCACCGAAGGCCCCAGTGGGGGTGTCCACATGCGGCTCCCCCACCCAGGGCAGCGTTTCGTGGCCCCATATTGGGAGCTCCACCGAAGGCCCCAGTGGGGGTGTTTGCATGCGTCTCCCCTACCCAGAGGTAGCGCCACCGAGAACGATATTCATATTTGCGGTATTCGCAACTGCATATGGTTGGGTCCTTCGCCAGGCTAATTTTCCTCCTCCTCCTCCTCCTCCTCCTCCTCCTCCTCCTCCTCCTCCTCCTCCTCCTCCTCCTCCCCCTCCCCCTCCCCCTCCCACTCCGCCTCCGCCTCCTCCTCCTCCTCCTCCTCCTCCTCCTCCTCCTCCTCCTCCTCCTCCTCTTCCTCTTCCTCCTCCTCCTCCTCTTCCTCTTCCTCTTCCTCCTCAGTGCGGCTGTGCGCGCCTGCGGCTGCTTGGCGCAGAGTGCGCCTGCGGCTGCTCGGCGTCAAAGTGCGCCTGCGCGCGCCTTCAGAGTGCGGCGCCCCGCGCGGCTGGGGGTCCGAGGTGGCCCAGCACTGGCCGTCATGGTGGAAGCCGGTCCTGAGGGAAACAGGCCCCGAGGTGTTTCGCCATGTTTTTGCTCCCGGGAGACCTCCGCGGGCCCTGGGACTGCCGGAAGGCGACGCAGGATGAAAAGAGCTGGTCCTGGGGGGAGGCCCCAGGTGGTCCAGGACCCGCTTGCCTCAAGACCCGCGTCCCCCGTGCGAAGCTGCTTCTGGCCAGCAGGGAAGGGGGGGAGGTTCGATCGGGGGTCACATGCGCACCCTACCCCTACCCCCCACGATTTCTGAGGGGGAGGGTGGGGTTCACTTCGTTCGGGAGCTCCCGAGTGAAGCGAAGCCCACCCTCCCCCTCAGAAATCGCGGGGGGTAGGGGTAGGGTTCGCATGTGGCCCCCTATTCGAGGCGCTGCGTTCGGGGAAGTTCTGGTTGCCCGTTTCGGCCTCCGAGGGCCGTTTTCGGGCCCCGGGGGGCAGCAGAAACGGACCCGGGCTAAAATATCTGCACCGGATGGGCGAGGTGTCCCCCGTCTTGGTTGATTTTCTCGGGGTACCGATTCTGAGCAGACCTGCTCTCATCCCCCGTCTTCATGGATTTGCTAGGGCCATCCAGCTCAGACCCCCGGTGCCGCCTCCAAGCCGGGCGCGTGTCTCACGGGGAGCCCTGATTACAGATCCGTCTCATTTAGAGGGATCTAGCGAGGAGGGCGGACATTTTCGCCCTACTTTACAAGCTCCTTTGACATCGATCTCCGACCTACTTTGCCGTCGCTTGTTCTGCCATACATTTGCGGAAACATCCGCCCGACCTTTCTGTGGCGGAAGCTTCTGCCCTACTCGTTCACATAGACATAGTCTGGGCTGCATTTCAACACAAGCTTTAGTCGGAGCATCAACCAAAAGCGGATCCGAAGCCATGAAAGATGACGATTTGGGGGTCTGCGTGGCTCTTCGATGTGGTTGGTTCGAAAAAGAAAGCACGGCATCTAATCACACATGTTTTTGAGCTCCGCGCTGATTTCTCGGATCGGCTCTGGGCACCCCCTGGGCGGCGCCTCTGGCGCCGCCCCTGGCGTGCTCCGCGTGCCAGGGGGGGGCTTAGCCCCGATCCGAGGAGGAGGAGGAGGAGGAGGAGGAGGAGGAGGAGGAGGAGGAGGGAGGAGGAGAGAGGGGAGGAGGAGAGGAGGAGGAGGAGGAGGAGGAGGAGGAGGAGGAGGAGGACAGGAAATTCGAGCGAAACTCCGACAGCGTATGCTTTCTCATGCCGCTGTGACCGGGTGGTCCGTGAGGCTGCCGGGCGCGTGCCGCACGGGGTGGAGGGCCCCTCTGATTTTAGGTTGTTTGCTTGGCCCTGCGATGTGGTGCTGGATGTTCGTGCTGGCCGCGTGGGGTCGCCAGGGGTTGAAGACGTGACCCCGCTCGCCGGCTTTCGCCTGCCAGCGCAGCCCGCTCCCTCTCCTGTTCCCCCTCCTCCCCTTCCGCCTCCTCCACCTCCTCCTCCTCCTCCTCCTCCCTCCTCCTCCTCCTCTCCTCCTCCTCTCCCCTCCTCTCCTCCTCCTCCTCCTCCTCCTCCCCTTGAGCCTGGCCGTGCACAGAGGGGTTCCCGTGCACCGCCTCCGTGGCTCTCGGGCCCGTGCCAGCAGCGCGAGCGAACGCCTCGGGCGATCTCGCCGGACAGGGTCCGCATGTCCCTCCGCGGCGCGCGCCAGGGGGGCGGCCAGGGAGCGGCGGCCCTCCGAGAGGGCGGAGGGGGGGAGGCCCCTGAGAGGCGATGGGGAGGAGGAGGAGGAGGAGGAGGAGGAGGAGGAGGAGGAGGAAGAGGAGGACGATGAGGACGAGGAGGAGGACGAGGAGGAGGAGGAGGAGGAGGAGGACGACGAAGAGGAGGAGGAGGAGGAGGAAGAGGAGCGAGGATCAGCGAGGAGCGAGGGGGTGGGGGAGCTTCCAGAAGGCGGGGGGCAGTCTTCTTGCAAGTGGCCCTGGAGGCTGCTCTGGGCAGCCTCCGTTCACGAAGCAGAAGACAACCCCTAACCCTGATAGACAACACAAGGAACTCATGGCCTAGCTTAGGCCCTCCGTCGTGTAGGGCTATCCCTAAACATGTGGGTGGCTTCGTCTGTGACGTCTGCAGGCAAGGCCCCCTCATCCCCGCTGTTTTTGGTCCTCCCAGCTTGCGCATGTCCCCCCCCCCACACGGATCAGGGGTACTTGTATTGCCCACCATCCGGGCCCTTCTTGGAAGGCCCCCCCCTCCTCCCTCCCCCCCTTCTCCTCCTCCTCCTCCGCCTCCTCCTCCTCCTCCTCCTCCTCCTCCTCCTCCTCCTCCTCCTCCTCCTCCTCCTCCTCCCCTCTCCCCCCCTTCGCAGGAGCTCCCTCCCCCCCAGGCGCCACCCCTCGCGCCACCCCTGCGGCCGGGGGAGCTCTGGCTCAGCGTGTCGCGCCGCTGGCTCTCCGGGCCGCCGCGCTGCGGCGCGACACGCCAAGCCCACGCCTCGGTCCCCCGAGCGTGTCGATCTGAGCCGAGGCCTCCTCCTCCTCCTCCTCCTCCTCCTCCTCCTCCTCCTCTTCCTTCTCCTCCTCCTCCTCCTCTTCCTCCTCCTCCTCCTTCGGAGCGACACGCTGTGCCATTTGCCGAGCCGTGCCGATCTGCGAGGGCCCCGGGTGCCCGGAAAGCAGCCCGGCTCGAAGAACTTTGCGACGCGAGGATTCCAGGTGATCCGCACGACGAACGCAACTGGTTCCCACGGGAAGAGGTCCGGATGCCTCCTCCGTCTCCTCCTCCTCCTCCTCCTCCTCCTCCTCCGCCTCCTCCTCCGCCTCCTCCTCCTCCTCCTCCTCTCGGCCCTCCACCTCAATCCCCCTCGCCGTGCTCTCCATCCCTCCATCTCCCCTCTCTCCTCGCATGTCCGCCTCCACCTGACCCTCCTACATTTCATTTCGCCCTGCGACCTGGCCACTCCCAGTCCCTCTCCCTGCCCCTCCACCTCTCCCTACCTCCCCTCGTTATATTTTCTTTTTTCTATGTATGTTTCTTGTTAGTTAGCTTATTAGTGTTATCCGCCTTCTTCTCATTCGTGTTCTTCTTATCCTTGTTCTTATGATGTTTCTTACGAGTCCTCTTTTTGTCGAAGACGCCTACGGCGAATCACCGCCGCCCCCTGCCTTTTTGGAAGCGCCTATGTGGCCGAACGTTAAGGCCAGACCTGCCAAGCTATCGGACCATGTGTTCCCCGAATCGGTTTGGAAAGCCTTCGGGGAACACGTGGGCATCTTGAAGGTCATCTTGGCCGTCTGGAGACCATTTTGACCCTTTCGGGCCTTCTTGGAGGACGTCTTGAAGGGCTCTTGGGCCGTCTTGAAGGCCATCTTGAGCGTCTTGGAGGCCTCTTGGGCCGTCTTGGGGGCCTCTTGGGGACGTGTCTTGGGCCTCTTGGGCGATCTTTGGGGGCACTTGGGTCATCTCGGGCCGTCGGAAGGCAGAGAAAAAGCAAATGCCACAATCCTTCAAAACCCGTGGGAAATCAATGATTTTGGCCTTTGGGCCTTCCTGGAGGCCCTCTTGGAGGCCCCTTGGGCCGTCTTGGGCCATCTTAGGCCCATGTGGGCTCCTGGTCCGTCTGACGCCGTCGGAAGCCGTTTGGGGGGGCTCTATGGGCCGACTTGGGGCCCTCTTGGAATGCTCCAGGGCCGTTTTGGAGGCCATCTTGGGCGTCGTAAAGGCCTCCTGGGCTGTCCTGGGGGCCTCTTGGGGCCGTCTTGTGACCATCTTGGAGGCCTCTTGGGCGATCTTTCGGCGATCTTTGGGGGCTCTTGGGCCGTCTCGGGCCGTCGGACGGCCGAAAAGAAGCAAATGTCAAAATACGTCAACAACCTCAGGAACATCAAAGTTTTTGGCCTTTTGTGGCCTTCCTGGAGGCCCTCTTGGGGACCTCTTGGGCCGTCTTGGGTCATCTTTGAGCCAACTTCGGCCATCTTGGTGGGCTCCTGGCACGTCTGACGCCGTCTGAGCCGTCTGGGGGCCTTTCTGGGCCGACTCGGGGCCCTTTTGGGGCGCTTCGGGGCCGTTTTGAAGGCCATTTTGGCCGTCTTGGAGGCCACCTTGGGCCTCTTGGAGGCCTCTTGGGCCGTCTTGGGGCCCTCTTGGGGCCGTCGTGGAGGCCTTCTTGGGCCGTCATGGGGCCCTCTTGGAGGCCTTGGGCGATCTTGGGAGCCTCCTGGGCCGTCGGGGGCCGTTGGAAAGCCGAAAAGGCGCAAATGCAAAAATCCTTCAAAAACCCAAGGAACATCAATGAGTTTGGCCTTTTCGGGCCTTCCTGGAGGACCTCTTCGAGGCCTCTTGGGCCGTCTTGGAGGCCTCTTGGGCCGTCTGGGGCCATGTTGAGGCCATCTTAGGCTGTGCTGAGTGCATCTTGGCTCGTCTTGAAGGCATCTTGGAGCCATCTGAGCCGTCTTGGAAGCCATCTTGGCCGTCTTGGATGCACCTTGGAGACCATCTTGGGCCGTCTTGGAGCCGTCTGGAGCAGGAACAATTTTTGGAACCAGGTTTTCGGCAATCTCCCGGGACCCCGGCGGGACGGGCCGAAGCCCCAGGGGGAGTTCTTTTGAAAAAAGAACCAAAACCAAAACCCACATCGTCCAGCATGCCATGCACCCCTGCGATGAATCGACAAATCGACAGGAGGCGGCGGATCGAATGGCCTTCGGCCCATGCCGCCACCGTGCCTGGATTGTGGGTATGAGAGGCATTGGCTGTTCGTTGGGATCTCGTGGGAGGCCTGTCGGGAGCCTCTTGGAGGCAGTTTGTAGGTCTCTTGGGGGCCTCTTGGGGGCCTCTTAGGGCATCTTTTGGGCCTCTTGGGGGGGCCTCTTGGGGCCTCTTGGGGGCCGCTTGGCGCCTCCTGGGGACCTCTTGGGGCGGAAGGCTCGGATTTTCGGTACGTGCTCCCTCTCTTGGGCTCCTTTTGGGGCCGTCTTGGGGCCCTCTCGGGCCGTCTGGGGCGCCTCTGGGGCCGCCTTGGGGCGCGCTTCGGCGGTCTTGGGGCTCTCTCGGAGAAACCGTGGGAGGATCAGTGATGTGTGCCTCTTGGGTCCTCCTGGGAGGCCTCTTCGAAGCCTCTTCGGGCGTCTGGGAGGCTTTCTAGGCCATCTTGAGACCATCTCAGGCGTCTTGAAGCGATCTTTCGGCGACTCGGGGCCCTCTTTGGCCGTCTTGGGGGCCTCGTTGGGCCCTCTGGGCCCATCTTGGGGCCCTCCCTGTTGGGCCCGAAAAGGTCATGCGGGAAGCCGCGAAGGGCCCCAAGGGAACCGCCGGAAGCCCCGCCAAGTTTAAGAATGTCGGGTCCAGGCCCCTGATACCCCTCAGGACTGAGGACTGAGGCTCCAGGGACTCGGCAAAGGACCTGAGGACACGCCCACTCCGTGCCCAGAGGCATTGTGGCGGGTTCTTCCCCTGCTCATACGTAATAGCATTTTTTGTTGTTCTATAGTCTAATTGTTTTTTTTCAAGAGGCTTACACCATTCCGCCAAAAGAGGCGGGGAGTCCACTGTTGAGGCGTCGGGGGCTTCTTGGGCAATATCTGGGGACTCTTGTGGGCGTCTTGGGACCCGCTTATGGACCTGGCGGAGCCTCTTGGATGTAGTTTTGAAGCGTCTTGGGGCCCGTTCGGGGGCCTCTTTTGGGCCTCTTGGGGTCTTCGGGGGTTTATTTAGAAGTGTCTTTTGGGCCGCTTGCGGGCTTCTTGGGGCTTTTGGGGGGCCCCTTGGGGGGACCGATGGGATGTTCCGTTCGTGTTCTCCATCTTTGCCTCTCTTGGGGCCCTCTCGGGGCGATCTTTGGCCGTCTGGGGCCACTCTTTGGACCGTCTTGGAACCCTCTTGGGCCATTCTGGGGACCTCGTGGGGGCCTCCTGGAAAGTTTTTGGGCGGTCTTCGGGGCCTCTTGGGCCGTCTTGGAGCGTCGGAAGCTCGAGAAGACGAGAAAAGACATACGGATCACCACTGATTTTCCCCTCAGGGCCCTCTTGGGAAGGCTCTTGGGCCGTCACGAAGGCGTCTTTGGGCGTCTCGGAGCCATCGCAAGCGTCTTGGGCCAATCGTTCTGCGATTCGGGACCGTCCTGGAACGTCTTCGAGGCCACGAAAGGCAGATTTGGAAGCTCTGGAGTCTCCGGTGATGCGCCAGCGAGCCCGGGCATCTCGCCCCCCTTAAACGAGATGTTGGACCCTGCGGGAGGGGGAAAGGGGGAGGGGGACAGCCAAGAATCTCACACGCGCTCTCACCCCTGGCAAGCAGGGGCCGGCGGATTGTTGATACTCGTCCTTGTCCGCGTCCTTATAATTCTCCTCCTCCTCCTCCTTCCCCTCCTCCTCCTCCTCCTCCTTCTTCCCCTTCTCCTCCTCCTACCTCCTCCTCCTCCTCCTCCTCCTCCTCCTCCTCCTCGTCCTCCTCCTCCTCCTCCTCCTCCTCCTTATATCCAACGTGGGCTACGCAATCCAGGTTCCTCAACATAAGCATTAAGTCGGGCCTGTCCCTCTGCAGGAGGGAGATTCAAAAATAGTCAAAAATAGTTCTGGAGACGATTGTTTGACCATTTTGATTATTTTAGTGTGTTTCTGGCTATGTTCTATTTTTCGTCCAAAATCCCCCTGTAGGGGGACAGGCCCGACTTAACATAAGCAAGACAGTGCCAGTTGCGAAGCCTGAGCCAGGCAATCTAGGACACGCAATCTTGTCAAGGGGCAGAGCCCAAGGGGAAAACATCCGAGAGCGCAAGGCTGGAGCCTGGCTGGAGCTGAAGCCAGAGCTGGGCCTGGACCTTTCCTGGGCCTGGACCTTGACCTGAGGCTGGCGCTACAGCCGGGGCTCGAGCTGGGCTGGATTGAAGCAGGAACTGGAGCTGGATCTTGGGTTGGAGCGAAGCTGGAGCCGGAGCTGGAGCTGGAGCTGGAGTTGGAGGGGCTTAAGCTGGATCTGGGACCCGAGCTGGGGCTGGGCATGCAGCAGCAGCAGCATCAGCAGCTGCAGCAGCAGCAACCGCAGCCGCTGGGTCTGGAGATGTCTGGGGCTGGAGCTGCGGCTGGAGCTGGAGCTCCGGCTGGAGTTGGAGCTGGGGCCGGAGCTGGAGCCTGGCAAGAGCTTGCATTTGAAGCGGAGCTGGAGCTGGTGTCTGGGGCTGGAGCTGCGGCTGGAGCTGGAGCTCCGGCTGGAGTTGGAGCTGGGGCCGGAGCTGGAGCCTGGCAAGAGCTTGCATTTGAAGCGGAGCTGGAGCTGGGCTGGATCTGGAGCTGAAGAACGACAGCATGGCGGGCCCGTTCAAAATTTGGCGCGGGAATTGGGTTCCCAGACATCGGGCGTCAGGAAACAATCGCGACGGAGGTTGTTGGTAGTTTTCGGCATCCTGGGGCCCTCACATGGCCTCGGGACCGCCCAAAAACGACCCAGGATGAAAAACCAGTCCCGGGGAAGGGGTCCAGACCTCTATGGTCGACGTCATGAAAAAATCGTGACGTCGGGGGTCTGGGTTTCGGCAAAACGAAATAGCACCGATCGTTGAGGAGGAGGAGGAGGAGGAAGGAGGAAGGAGGAAGGAGGAAGGAGGAATGAGGAAGGAGGAAGGAGGAGGAGGAGGAGGAGGAGGAGCAGGCGAGAACGCGTCCCCAAAACCTGGTCTCCGAGCCTCGTTCCTGAGGTCTCTGTGTCCCTACCTCCCTTCCCTCCCTCCCGCTCGCCCCGCGGCGCGAGGAGGAGGAGGATGAGGAGGAGGAGGAGGAGGAGGAGGAGGAGGAGGAGGAGGAGGAGGAGCAGGAGGAGGAGGAGGAGGAGGAGGAGGAGGAGGCGGCATTATCTCTACCAACCATCTCTAGTCCATGTTATCGTGTGCCCAGTGTCCTCCCTCCCTCCCGCTTCTCCCCGCCTCCCTGCCTTCCTGCCTCTTCAGCCGAGGAGGAACATGATGAGCAGCAGGAGGTGAGGGGGATGAGGAGGGAGAAGGACGACTCTCCACTTTCTTCGAGGAAGCGCAAAGATGGACTCAGGCGCGTGGGGCGGCATCAGAGGGCGCCCAGCGCAGATCCAAGGAATCCGCGTGGACCGTCGATCGTCTATGTTTATGCCTTCCCCTCTTCATCAAAAAGGAGGATAATGAATAGGAGGAGGAGGAGGAGGAGGAGGAGGAGGAGGAGGAGGAGGAGGAGGAGAGAGGAGGAGGAGGAGAGTTGGAGGAGGAGGAGGAGGAGGAGGAGGAGGAGGAGGAGGAGGAGGAGGGGGGGAATTGGGAAAGGGGGAGTTACAAACTTTGCTGCATGCAGCTGGTTTCGGCCTTACCGAGGGGTCCATTCCTCGATACATAGCCGCCTCTGGCGCCGGGAGGCGCCGGGAAAATCAGCTACGTGAGCTGATTCTCAAACCCCCCCTTTGCTATCCCCCCCTGTCGCCCGACCCGACCCTCCCGCTCCTCCCCGCGACGGGGGCCTGGGCGGCCGGCTGGCGCAATTGTCTTCGCCCGCTCCGCGCGCGCTGGCGGCCGCTGCCGCGGCCGCCGACGAAAGTCGCCGCGCGGGCCGGGAAGGCCAGAAGAGCCCAGTTCTCGAACGTGCTGAAAAAGTCTGGGCGGAGCTTGGGGGCAGGATTTGTGCCCCGAGGCCAGCCCGTAGCGCGTAGTGCTGCATTTTGGCTCAACCCGCTAAAGCCGCTGCGGGCGCACCTGGGGCACGCAGAGTCCCAGGGAGCCACCAAAGACACGCCACAGGCCCAGGCCTGGCGTTCACGACGCAAAGCACCATCAGAATCATCAGCATCATATCCAACGTGTTGAAAAACCTCAACATCAACACCATCTCCACATCATCGACATCATCCACCAACACCAACAATTTCATCATCCAACATCAAAGAAACATCATCAGCATCATCAACATCATATCCAACGTGTTGAAAAACCTTATCAGCATCAACACCATATCCATATCATCGACATCATCCATCAACATCGACATCAACATCAAAACCATCATCCAACATCACAGAAACATCATCGGCATCATCAGCATCATCGAGATCATAGCCAGCGTGATGAAAAGGCCACGACAGATCTTCTTCGTCGCTCCTGGCGACCGCGGGGCCCTCGCTGGGTCCCGGGACTTGTCCAGCAGCGACCCGGGAAGTGGTCCAGAGCTCCGAAGACCCCGACCCAAGATCCATATGTCGGGGGCGGCAAAGAGGGGGGTGATGACTAGGGGGGGGATATCGCGGCGTGGGCCATGATATTTCCCCAGATTTCATGGCGCCTTTTCCTATTTCAGTACGTCCTTGGACCCCCCGCTTGGCCGCGCACATGCCGCCGGTCATGATTTACCCCCCCCCCCTCTTGGACCCCCCCCTCATTGGCCACTCCCGAATATGTCCTTCGGTAGCAGCTCAAAGGAGCCTGATATGACCTCGAGCTTCGCGTGCGTCGACCCGCAGGACCCAGCAGGATAGCATGGGAGGCTCCCATGCGTTGCCACAGGACACATCGGAGGTCTGGGAGTGGCGCGACAATGTTTGTTCACTCGCGGGCGGATGTGGCACAGTCGGCCCTGATTAGTGGATCGACCCTGCCGCATCAAGGGTACCCTTGTGCCCTGGGCCTCGCGACACGTGCCTTCTAATTGACTGCATTCCTGCAGGGGGGGGGGCATGCCAAGAAACACCCTGCTTGCCTCCAGGGTGCCCTGGGTTTCGATGGTTTCGCTGTGGAGAGCGCGACGTTCCCACACCAAAAGTCAATGGCTGTCCTGGGTCTCAGGGTCGGGATTCTTGTGCAAAGTTTCTTGTGGACTGGCCTCCACTGTATGACAATGCGACCCTCGGACGGGTCTTGTGTCCTCCCGCTTGCGGAGCTAGGCTCCCCTCGGTTGACCTGCTCTCGGTGAGAGCCAGGTTGCCTGGAACATCGTCACCTATTCTCACAGGGTCTCGTCGACGGGATGGGTGCGTGGCACGACGGGGGGGAGGAGGAAGAGGACGGAGGGCGGGAGGAGGAGGAGGAGGAGGAGGAGGAGGAGGAGGAGGAGGAGGAGGAGGTTGGAGGTTGTTGCGTGGTTTTCTTACCCGGCAGGTTGCGACTGCTAGATCTCAGGTCCAGGGCGCCCGACCCGCCCGCTGGCCGGGCGCACTGCTGCCGCCGGGCCCCGGTGCTGCCGTGAGTCCCCAGCATCCCGCCTCGCGTTCTCTTACCGGCCTCGAACGCGTCCCTATCCCTAAGTGATTCGCCCTCAAAAAATAAGGGAATCCCTAAGATTGGCATCGTGATGAGGAGGTGCCCAGCATAGGGATAGGGATATGTTCCAGGCTGGTAAGACAAATTGCAGAAACGATCCCGCATAACGCCTCGCGCCCCGGACACAAGACAGCATAGCCGATGTACCCTCCCATGACATGAACACATATCTCACACGCCCAAGATACACATTACTCGTCCATGCCATGCACGGCAAGCAAACGCACGTAACACACATTGCCACAATTCAAGTTGGGGGGCCGCACGGGGCCCAAAAGGTATCCCCATTTTTTCGCTCAATTTTGGAGCACCTGGGGCCCTCTGGGCCTCGTGAGGGGTGCTCTGGAGGGCGCTTGGGGCTCCTTGGAAATCCCTGGGGCACCTTGAGCCAGGGGCACTTCACGCAGCACCGACTGTCTGTGGGCAGCCCGGAGCCTTACCAAGCGCGGCTGTCGATCCCCCCGTCTCCTCGGGCGGGGCTAGGACGAGGAGAAATCCGTTCCAGAGCCTTCGGGAACGCTCTCAGAACGTTATGGCACGCTTTGAGAAGGCCGCGGTGCCCGTGGCATCCCCCAGAGCCGCCAGATCTCAGAGATTCTGTATGTATCCTCGCCCGAGTTTATCCTCGTCCTGGCTTCGTCTTCGGGAGGCGGCGAAGGAACGGAGGGGAACAATCGCTCCCACCCGCCGGGCAGCTCACAGCGGCACCGCTCGTCACACGGCACGTCCCGGTCCAGGATGCCAGAGCCGTGCTGCACCCCGCTGTGCCGCCTCACGTCGCGCGGTGCGCTGCCGCCGTCGGCCGAGTCACACACACAATACTGTCCTGCAGGTCCGAGGTGTAAGATCGAGGTCGGTTCGGGGAGTGTACCCTCATGTATTTCGTGTCTGGGGACTGCTCTTGTACATCCTGGGGGGGAGGGTTACTCCCTCGATCGTTCTTCAGTTTGGCCTGTGGAGGGCCTCATGTTCTTGAAGGTTGTTTTTCCGTCCTTGGTCCGGCTGTAGCCTTCATGTGCAGCAGCCGTGAATGACACAACGCGCATAAGGTAATACGCCAGAGCAACACACTACCACGCGCAAGCAGCGTTCACAGTGAACGCCCAAAAATGGCACTGAACCGTCAGGTGCAGGTATCTTGCACCTGGGGCGCACGTCATAGAGCATCATACCAGACATCAATACATCATGATATTCACAAACAGCTGTCGCACATTCATGCGATTCATGAATCATAATGTGCAGACGTTGCAGCAACAACAGCCGTACCATACGTACCACACATCAGCCGGCGAACGCACATAACATTCACTCCGGCTGAACGCAGCCTTGTGCAACTACGCCCTGGGCAATTGGATCCAGGTGGTGCGCGACAGGAAATGGTAGTTCATTGGGGAACAAAACAGTCGTGGCAGACACTCGCACGTCAAGCGGCCGAGTTGGCTTCCAGCGGACTGCAGCGACCCGAGCCAGGCAAACCCCTTTCGTGGAGGAGGGAGACACGCCACGACTTCCTGCCCATGTTGGGCAGGTCTCGCTGTCGATGTCGCCGCGGGCGGTGCCCATCTGAGGCAGCAGGCCGCCTGCTCAGCAGCGGCCGCTGTTGGTTTTGGGGACAGCACTTGTGGTTCAACCTTCTGTCAATTCTTTCCGTACCCATTTCGGGTTCAGAGCCGAGCCCCCTCGCCCGCCCTGCCCCAAGCAGCAGCGCCCCCTCCCCCAGCGATCGGTTTCTGATTCATTGTTGTGCTGATCGGCGCACCTCCTCCCCCCACCTCGCCTGGTGCCGTGGCTTTCAATTGGAGTCATCATCTCGGAGCAGCACGCGGTGCCGAGCAATCCCGACGCCCTCCATCCGCTCCTCCGTCTCACGCTGCGGCGCAGTGTGGCTGCAGTGGTGTGCAGTGCTGGCAAGTGGAGGCATCATGTTGGTGGCTCGTCTGGTGGAAAAGAACAAATGTTGTGCTGATCGGCGCGGGCCCTCGCACCCACCCTCTCCCCCTCCCCCCCCCATGGAGTAGCTCTCGGCTGTGTATGGTGCCTGTTTCAAGCAGGTGGAGTTCTCCCCCTCAGGACGCACTGCTGCAAAGAGTCGCATTCAGCAGAGGTCTGGAGCCAGGCCTTCCCCATGTCCCCCCCCCCTTGCGCCCCATGTCGAAACGGCGAGCAAAGAAGCCGCTCCCCAGCGGCGCGCAGCGTGGGAGGAGAGGGCCGCGCACTGCGCTGCTCACAGCTGCCCCGGGTTGGGCCCTTCGTCGGCTTCTGCGGTTGCTGGTGCTGCTTGCTTTTGTGTGTGCCCCTGCCACGTGGCGAAGATGCTCTCCGCCTGGGGCCTCCTCCCGCGTTCCCCCCTCCGCGGCCGCCCTCCTCTTGTCTCAGTACTTGTCGCACTCTCCTCCCCCGTCCCCCTCTCCTCCTCCTACTCTCCTCCTCCTCCTCCTCCTCCTTCCTCATCCTCCTCCTCCTCCTCCTCCCTCCTTCTCCCTCCTCCTCCTCCTCCTCCTCCTCCTCCTCCTCCTCCTCCTCCTCCTCCTCCGCCCCCAGTTCCGCCGCGTCCCGTCGGCTAGCCCAACGCGTTGGCGTCCACCCTCGCTGCTGAGCCAAACGCGCAAACTGTACTCGACCCCTGGAGACCTCGAGAGGCGGTCGGGAAACTCGTGGGGCCTCCTGGAGGGTCCCAGTGCCAAGAGGTCCAGGCCTCTGGCGGCTCGAAAACAAATCTGGCCTCCGATGCTTCATTCTATGCTCAGGTTCTGGCTGCCATGTCCTGTCCCCGAGACAATCAAAAAGGGCCCAGCATGAACCAAACATCCCCCTGGAAGAAGCCGATCAGGTCAGATAATGGGAAGGAGGAGAGGGAGGAGGAGTAGCAGGAGGATGCGCAGGAGGTTGCGTAGCAGGGGGAGTACATATTTGTGTTGCGACGTTGGAAGGTGGTGGGCGGCAAATGTGCGGCGGCAGGCGGGGAATGAAGATGGCGGTGGCCCTGCCGCCTGCGGCGCATGTGGCTCTCGTCTCCGTGGGCTGCTCTGAGGCCTCGCGTGTGCTCAGAGCACGCTTTGGGGGCACAGTTTTTAACAACAGTCACACTTGTGCGTTCGTCTCGACTGCCCGGGCGCAGCACTCCGAACACGTCGTGGCGGCACGCTGCGATTTGGTGCCCTCTCGCTCTTCCATGGCGTCCGACGGCGTGCCGAGGTCCGGTCGCATTCGGGGGCGCCGCGCGCTCCGAGAGGCTCTCCCCGAGAGTCGCTTCTCTCCCCATAGCAGGGGTCGCGAGTGCGCCGGCTCTGCCTGCAAGGCGAAGCGTCTTATCGTTTCGCAGACCAGGGCCCCCTTATCATGCAAGTGCGCCGATGGATGGCACATGCAGGAAGGAAAGACGATGTCTCTGGGCAGCGCCCAGACCAGTCCAGCGGATTCTGGGGCGCCTCACTGGAGGAATGCTACTCTCCGAGTGATTTCTATCGTGCTCTTGCTTTCTGGTGGAGGCAATTCTGTGCTGTGCGTGCTGACCCTTG